ACAAGAAGCGAGCAACGACGATTTGTAGCGTGTGGCGGCCACCGTCGTGCCGTGTGTGGCGAGTCCATATAAAATGTATGAAAACTACAAGAAATATGCCGGTGGCAGCGTTTTGTGGTTGTGGTCGGTGGCCCGTGTGCGGCAACACTTAGAGAAAATAGGTCATAATTCTGAGTTGAGAATTAGAGAAAATAGGTACGAACCTCTTTATGTTACTCCGCTTTTCTTTACTCGAGAACAACAAACAATGGGTTATGTTTTACTTAAACAGAATGGCGGCTGTGAAGTTAGCGCGAGTCGCGCGCACAGTAAACGAAATGTAGTTCGGGGTTTCACCAAAAAATGATGATTTAATAAATAGATAATCTGATTTTTTGCGAAAATACTAGGCATATTATTTCAAACTTTCATGGTCACTAACATTATAGCTATTAATGGGATTGTTACAATGTACCTTGTTTTTTATGAGTCTCCGATATTTCGGCATTGTTGCATGCGCCATGATCACGGAGTAACGCCGTTAATAGCTATAATATAAGGCATTTGTGAGAACTCGGCTAATTAGACAGTGGCGATATCATTGCTCAGTCATACCTACCATTTACATTTTTTTTGACTATACTAACCTAACCTAATGTAAAACCAAGAACCCAAAAAACCTAGGAATATTATTAATAAGCCAACGATTATTTTCGCTATCTTACTGAGGCGTTTCACAAATATACTATCCTTTTTAATAAGATTGGGAAATCGAGATTTTCTTTTTCTCCGCGTTTTCAGAAAATCCCTAGGATTTTCGTGAAAATTCCATTTATCAAATCATCCTATTACGATATATAATAAACTACGAGAATGTTCAGTGAACTGAAACTTGCGCGCCCTGTTTACTTAACAACCGCCATTAAATTTAAATAGCTAACTGTTTTTATCATTATAATATATATTAGATTTACTTTTTTCAGTACAATTTCTTAATTGTTGCAGTTCGAAAGTTAAACAAGTATTATATACTCTTAATTAAATGACATTGAATTCCTTTTCGTTACGTATCGTATGAGAGTTTTAAAAAAGTCAAGTCATAGTTGTTAGTAGCAGTGAAAGTAGATAGGTACCCTAAGGCTGTCTGCTCGCTGAAATGGGTTACATTACAAAATTATTGTTACTCGTGCGTGTGTGATTTGTTCATGATACAATTAGGTACCATGAGCATAATCTCCTACAACAACATCAAGGTGTAAAACAAACGGTAGATAGAATAAAACTTGTCATACTTCTGATACATATAATCAAATCTTGGTAGTCTAGGTTGGTTATTTTTGATTCAGACATGAATATTATTACTGTGTTGGTATTTTGTAGGGTGGGTATAAAAATCAATTGCTATTCGTTAGTCTCGCTAAAACTCGAGAACGGCTAAACGGATTTATCTTATCTTGGTCTTGAAATGTTCGTTCGTCTTGAAAGGTTTAAAAGGTGAGAAAAATAATTATATACAGCATTTCATTGTGTATAATACAAGGCTGAGAACAAAAACTATAGTCTACCTACACTACAGCTCTACACGGAAGCGAAGGGAAGGCGGGCCACCAGTGTTTCATATTTTTTAGAAGCACTTGTTATGTACTTACAACAAAAATAAATAAATCTTCTATTAAATCATAAATGCATTCTGTTGCACATGAATCCTCTTTCAAATGGCTAAAAAATCCGGAATAAAAGTTCAGAAAATGTGTTCTTTTTCAGGTCTTCTCAGAGCTAATAGCGGGGAATCGGTAGTAGCTATTAAGGTTTTAAAAGAGAGCGCAGGCAGAAGCGCAGAAGAAGATTTTGTACGAGAGGTGTCAATAATGTCAGCCTTTCGCCACCCCAATATCCTCACGCTAGTCGGTGTAGTCTACAGAAGTAAGTAGAACTCTTTTTCTAGTAATATTTTCTTTAGATTTAAACATCTAGCAGTTAAATGTTTTAAAAATAAAATAAAAAGTCTGGAAAAGGACACAGTCAATAAAGTTCAGTTTTAATTTGAAAAAATAAATAAATAATCAAAATATTCAATTAAAATCGCTACTGAATATAATTTATTAGAACATATGTGATTTGCACTTGTATGAAACTCAAACACGTATTCCGAATATACAAACTAGAAACATGTGGATAAATATTATAAACTAGCGGCCCGCCCTCGCTTCGCTTCGGTGTAGAGCTGAAGTGTAGACTACAGTTTTTGTTCTCAGGCTTGTATTATACACAATGACATTCATCTATGATTCTTCTTATACCTGCATGCAAAGTCTCAGCCCGATCGGTTTAAAATTGATAAAGTTTCATACAAACTTTCATTCCTTATTTTATCCCCTTGGGATTTTCTTTATATTTTTTTCCGTAAGAACCTTGTACAGAGTATTAGAAAACTACAAAAAAAAAAAACAGCCAAATCGGTCAAGCCGTTTTCATGTTATGTCGTGACAACGGAAAACGGGTTTCATTTTTATATATATAGATATGAAAACAGTCTCTGTTCTAAATTCAAAACTCGTAACTTTTCCCGATGTTTGTTGTACGTGTTTCCCGCGCTAGGACCGCGAGTGGCCGCGCATGCGTACGGTGCGGCGGGCGACGCGGTAATGGCAGCGCGGCACATGAAGTTGGTCGCTAAAGCGACCAACTTCATGGTGTTAATTTTTTGTGTTACAGATGCGCGCGCATCTTAAAATTTCACTCTCATAATTTTTTTATAACGCGCCTAAAGAAGTATAACTTCAAAAACGTGATTACGGTATTACGGGATCCCGGAATATCGGTATTGAAAGCCCTAGTGCAAGACGACCGACGCAAGATGGGCTGCCTCCTCCACCGTCTACCCGCCGCACCGTCTATCCATCCTAAACCTGACCAATCATAAAAACCCTGCACTTTCAGAATATCGAAAAAAAATACACCGAAACCTTTAATAATTTATAGTTCTTGATAAATATTGAATAAACGTGAATGCAAGTAAGATCAATCGTAAGATGACGATGATGAATTTGATGATTGAAAGAACAGCAGCCACGTCTTTAAGGGCGTCTTTAAGTTTAAAAAAAACGTATTTTGAAAATACGTATCTTGCATCTCAAAGTATTTCAAATACTTTTTCCACAGGTATGTTGTATCTATTAATACGCATAAGTTGATGTCTAGTTGATGTCATTTTGATATCGCATTTTTCGGAGAGTATAATATCCCTAATGTGAAATTGACATCAAAACCATATCACAATTAGCGAGCATAATTAGCCTGCTGATATCTTGTATTTAAGATACTGTTTTTAATGTATCTTTTACATTTCTGTTTAAATAAATAAATGGAAGTCAGAGATGCTAATGAAAGGCCGAAATGGTGAACGCCACTGTCGTAAATATCGAATTTTAAAAAAATAGCTGCATTTAAAAACATTTAATCGAATCCGATTTTTTGGCGGGATTTCATCGAGTGTGGTTGGCGTCTTATTTTAATTATTCTTAAATTCGTTCATAGTAGATATTGTGAAATAAAATTGGTGTGATTTTGTGTTACAATTGTCTGCGCAACTGAAGAATTAGTAGAATCGTCAAAATATACGCTATTCCGGTCAAGTGGACGTGAGAATTTTATTGTAGTATTGACTACCTCACAGAAGCTTATCGAAAAAGCCAGCTCGATACATTTCGTACCAAACACTTCAAGAAACATTAGAATGCGTCACACCGACATTCTAATGTAACAAGAAAAACAGAATAATTTAACTTAATACTGGGCTATGGGAATTGTTCCCCTTGCCTTCCCTGAAAAGGGAGAACTTAACAAAAAAAAAACATTTAACCATTTGATACAGTGTTGCCAACTCTACGTCTTTTTACGTAGATCTACGTATTTTAGGCCTCTTCCGGAAACCTACTAACTTCAGTCCCAGAATCTACGTATTTTCTTAATTTTTTTCAAATTTGTAAAATAACTTAATGCACTAGAATAAAGAAGAATATTTTCCGTTACTTTACTTAAAAACTATACAAATGTTTATTTCTTATAAAGATGTATCTTACACTCTCGTATCTTGTAGAAAAGGTTCCCGTTATTGGTTTTGTTGACTAAATTAATGCTGGACGCAGGATTTGTGAAAGCAGAAACGACAAAACTCTTTGATTTAGTAGGTACATTCATAACATTAAAAATTGTATTTTTAAACTTTTAATATTATTAATGAGTACCTACTCACATCGAATTGATCTTTGCAAAAAGAAATGACTTTCAGTCGATAAAGTTACAGGATTCAGCAAGTTTTAAACATATGTTCATGTGTAAGTAAATTTATTTCTCTTGGCAATTTAAACCACAACTTTTCTAGTCTTTTACCAAGTGTATCATGATAACTACTATATTTTTCATGTGATCTATTAGAAATCATGGTTTTATAATATTAACTTAGAAAGTTTATTTCCTACGTGCTTGCGAGTGTTTGTTTACAAATGTTTTGACGTCATAGCATAGATAAGTCTATAGACTAAATAGCGTTTTTGTATAATACATTTTTTTCGATCTGATAGAACGATTATTAACAATTTAAAACTTAATTCCAAAAAGTGTCAACTAGCCCATTTAACAACAGTTTATCCTTGTCATTCTCTATACAGAATGAAAAGGAGAGACTGATGTTAAATTTAGTTTTAAATTAAGAAAACCATCCAGAATCGACACCCACCAGTGTCTGTGTCTGATGGTAAATGTCTACCACAGCATGGTAAATGCTTCCAATGCAGCGACTTCTCCAAGAACTCTTTGTTCTATCTCCCGTTCTTAAACAAATTGTATAACAAAATACTCATTTTATTCGGTTTCACCTAACTTCTTCATTTCACTTAGAAAAAAGTACGTAGATCTACGTACTTTTCATATCCAAAATTTACTAATTCTACGTAATTTTCTCATCGGGCCTACGCCTTTTTCAAAATCCGAGTTGGCAACACTGATTTGATAGGTAAAATTCCAGGCAGCATAGAGTAGGCACAGAACAGATTACTAAAATAGTATGATTCTACCTGAATAACAAAGAGTATGGTAATTTATAGGGGACTGAATAAACACAGAGATCGGTTATTGCCTGTGGTTTTTGCATTTTAAACTCGTTGCCATTACGGTTTTTAATCGTTTATTATAAAATGTTATTGTGGGAAAGTAACGCATAGTTTTCTGGCTGTGAAGATAAAAGACAATCCAACAGTGTTTGACGATGTGAATCGGTTTTGTTATTTTTTTTAAGATATGGGTTTCACCCATTATAGTTTCCTTTTAATAGTGGTATTTGGAGCTTTAGTATACGCCGGCACTGAAGGTTTTGATTTAGACGGATCATGTAATGCAACTGATTCTGCTCGCGTCGAATATGAATACAACACCGATGTTGTCAGTAGTGAGCATATAATAACTTTCAAAGGATATTTTCCAAGATCTACTAGAAAAAAATATGTCACAGCTGCCTTAAAAAATGCTGGGGTAAGCTAGAAATTGAATTTTATCAATACCTGTCAATAGGATTTCATTGTAATAGCCTTAGTAAGATAATTCAATTAGAATATGTTTTTAAGTGTTTAAAGAACATGTCCTGCCTTATCAAATCCTTTAGTAAAGCATGGGGAGCTAGCTTTTCGTCCAAACGAATATTATAAATGGGAAAGTGTGTGTGTCTGTTAGTTCCTCAAGCTTAAACTGCTTTATTGACTGCTCAATTTTGATTGAACTTAGTACAGAGATACTTTTTTGGTCTCAGTGAATTACAGGATAGTTTTAATCCCAGAAATCATTCTTTAAGGATGTGAAAAGGGTGGAAGTTTGTATGATTTTGTTTTCAAATGATATAGGAAGGTATTGAATCAATCAAAGTATGGCATTGTTATCCAAGCTCTTTCACCTTTTTATAGGCTGTCTAATTAATTTTCAAAAGAAAGGTGCTATGTCATTAACTTTGTTTTCTTTAAAAGTAACTTCTACAGACACCATTAATCCCTCAAATATAAGTTCATCCCTTAATATTAGGTGGGGTGTAATAATTTGCTCTACCTAATCATAAAAAAAGGTAAATTTAAAAAATCAAAAAACCCGACTGCTTAATTATACTTCAAATAAAAACTGAAAAGAAAAAAACAAATCCAGTAGTCTATAATTCTGTTAATAAGGAACAAAGCTGCTTTTTTTTCGGTACTTAATTCCATTATATGTAATTGAATTTCGGGGTAATTTGTAGGGGAGGGGGAGGGGGGGCTCCCCCGATCCCCCCGCCATAAATGATTTTTGGCGGAAATGCAGTTTTTTTTTTTACCTAACCTAAAAATTCATAAAATCTGTTATATGTAGTGGAATTTCAGAGGGATAGGTATTAGGGAAGACCCCTCAGAGGGAAGGGTACCCCCCCCCCCTCCCGTCGTTTTTTTACAGAAATGATAATTATAAAAAATTAGAGGAGTTTTAAAGGTAAATCTGTACTTCCAGCGCCTAGAGGTGATATTTGATTTTTCTGTAGAAAAAGTCTATTAACAAAGTTTTCTTTCTGGCGCTTCGCCGGCCGCTACCGCGGCACGCTCGCTTCGCTCGCTCGGCTCGCGCGTTAAGGTCACAACACTAACCTAACCTAACCTAGTGTGAAGTATCACCACTTGGGCCTTAGATATACAGTTTAGCCGTTTAAATAAAACAAGTTTAAACACAAACACTGACTGACAGATCTCATTAATGGCGGTAAATTGTCACATTTTGACAATAGTACCAACATAATAAACTTATATTTACCATAGACAACGAGAAACATGTTATTTTTGCATAAAAAAATGGCAGCACTGATCATGAAAATTGCGAAAAAAAAAGTTGTCAAAATTGACTCATAACCTACAAAAATATTAATTTTCAATAATTTTTTTCTCGAGTTCTATTTGTTTCCGCCAAAAAAGATTTCGTGTACGTGTTTTTAATAGTTAATACTTTGCGTGACAAAAATTTCAGCTTGCAACTCAATTACATATAATGGAAAGGTGAGCCTTTTTTTCTTTTCAGTTTTTATTTGAAGTAGGTATAATTAAACAGTCAGGTTTTTAGATTTTTTAAATTTACCTTTTTTATTTCACACTTTTTAGTTAGTTAGTATTTTAAGACGGTATATACTGTAGTCTTGTTACTTCAGTAAGGGAATTAATATCGTGGGAATTATTAAGTACCATGCAGTGGTCTAAAAGATTGATTTATTAAGACATATAGAGACTTTACCAGCTGAGTCCAGGCTGCAGATGGGCCTCAATTTTCGCAAAAATGTGTGAAGTTAAATCAACTCGTTACATAAATATCTAATGTATGTAAATTTTATAGTAAACTAGCACTTATTCAAAAAGTCATCTTTTGTTTATGATCTTTTAAGTAGTTTACAGTAAATATAAAATTCATTTACCTTTATTCGTCGACTATTTAAATTGGCAGTGGCTGCATTTTCTTGTCAACGTCCGGCTCTAAGATTGTGATATACACAAATGCAGTGTCATATCCTAGTCTCATAATTTGATATACCTACATAATTCACAGAAACCCAATATGTAGATGCCAGAAGTTAACTTCAAATGTTGTTAATCACCCTATATACAATACCAATCAATGACGTTTATATCGCAGGTTGAAGAAAGCAGAAATTACCATCTGTTGTTTTGGACAATGCTGGCAACTACCTTAGATCGCTAAATTTAATATTTATGCAATCACCAAAGCAAAAAGTTTATAATATTTGATTAAACTAAAGGCGCATAATAAAATTTTCATAACGTTAGATAGAGCACCATAGCAATCTCATTTATTGTCAATTTATAGTTCTCTTTGTAGTTTTCTTTTAAAGCGTTCAAATATAACAGGTCAAAGACTTTGTGAACGACCCTTTTTTATTAGTAGTGTAAAGCTCGAATGAAGAGTACTTCCACCTATTAAGCGTGCTGCTACAAGCCTAGTAGGTATTGCAAATAGTGCAATCAATTATTTTCCAAATATATTTTTTTGTATAAAAAAATACCAAATAACTATCACTGTTAAGTAGAAATGCTAAGTACTTTATTTTTAAATCTTTTTCATCAATTAAATACTACTATCCTATCTATCTATACTAAAATTATAAAGAGGTAAGATTTGTATGTTTGTAACAAATAATCTGTCAAACTACTGAACCGGTTTCAAATATTAATTCATCATAAGGTAGCTACTATTATTACATTTTTCTTTATTTAAATTGTTTGGCCAAATGACATAGACTATATTTTATCCCATTAAAATAAATTTTAAACAATGCCCGGGTGGATCACTAGTAAGTATAATATAATATAAGTGCCCTATATCTAAATCTATAATAGCTAAATCGATTATAATGAATTCCCCTATAGTAGATGGGAATTTGGTTCTTAGCTACAACATCGTAATACTTATAGGCGTAGGGTGATGAAAGGGGTGATTTATCTATATAAATGTATATTATTTACTTTGAATTTTGCAGAATAATCGTTTATAATTACCAAACCAATATTATTGCGAGCTGATTAATAAATACAAGGAGTCCAATAAGTATGTACCTACTAGCGAAAAATGGTTTATGTCATTATATTGAGTAAACCTTTTTTGGAACATAGTAATATCGTTAAAAAAAATTAAAAACAGTGTAATTCTGAGTTTTTTATTAATATTCAATAATCACAAATACCTATTATGATAATTTATTTTTCATCATTTAATAAGAAGGAACTGTATCAGAGTTTTATTGTTTTCTTTTTCGCCTAGGTTTTATCCACGTTTATAAACACCTAAATTAAATTTCTTCTCGTAGTATTCCTGCGTAGTACACAGAGCTATCACTTTGTCATCGTTGTAAAGTTTTAAATATTTGTCAAAATGACATACTTTAAAAGGCAAAGTTTAACGTCTTTCAATTTCAAAAGCGATAAAAGTATTTATTTTAATACAAAACTATTTTTTTTATCCAAAATGTGCATTTTGGAAATGGATATCAAATAATATTTTTTTTTGATTCACTGTTTTAGTGATAATAGATATATTCTGTCGCAGACTTTTCTGTAGAACTTTTTAAGAGATACATTTTCACGATACATTATATTCATGTAACTTTTACTGTTTTTGCAGTGCAGGCTGAAATGGCTCGCAGATGGGAGGTTTTTTCCGCCTTACGTGACACTTACTGTTATATTTTGGCCTATTCACTCAAAAGCTACAAAAATTATAATCTATGTGTTATTATTATGTATGAGCTATATTTTTGTTAAGTTGCATTAAAATCCATTCAGTATTTTTTGGGTGAAAGAGCAACAAAGATCTACTATACAAACGTAAGATTGAAATTCAAAGCGTAAGTCCCTAATATGCAACTTTAAATCGTTGTAGATCCTAAACAATCAAATAAAATGAAAAATGGTGTTACAAACCTAAACATGATTTTCAATTATCTAGAATCTAGATTCTAGACAGTGATACCCCACTCGACATATTTTGTCAACTTGTTTTTTTTACTTAGTCACAATATGGCGCCTAATTTTGTCCATATTGAATTTTGATTACTATCATATCTTTAGTAGCACTCCCACGATTGAGACGAATCGATTGATGTATGAATCATCAAAATCGGTCCAGGCGTTTGGTCTCTAGTGTGCCACAAAGGAACAAACATACATATATAGACTGTTAAACACTATACCCTGTCTGCGCGTCGCGCTTCGCGCTCTTGCATTGCGCAGTCGGGTAAAAAGCATTTAATTTAGAATAAACATTCATAATCTTATCCCAGACCGGATAGAAGATCTTTATGACTCATAAATTGGATATTTTATTAAATGTTTATTTAGTGATAAACTTAGTCAATTCCTCTCTCTCAGATATCAAATTGGACGATACTACAACGCAATAACCCTGCAAAGGAGTTCCCAAGTGATTTTGATGTGATCATCTTGAAAGATGAATTGACTCGAGCCTTGGATGCACTTAGAGATCATCCTGCTGTCCGTCGTGTTACAGCCCAAAGACAAGTCCAACGCACTTTAAAATATGTACAAGAGGTAATGTTTATATTATTCAACATTTAAAATTAAAAGAAGTTTTGTTTAGTCCTAACTATGTGTTGCAATACACTCCATATAGAAAGTATTGCATTGCTTAAAAAATTAATCAATGATATTATGAAAATAAGTATTTCAATGACCATTCCTAAATTACCTAGTCCAATTATAAGATAGATTTACCGAAATCGTTACAAAAAGCAACCATTTACAATGGAATTGTGGTGTTGTGTTTCAGTCAGTGAGTAAGGTTACAGGGATCCACAGACTAGTGTATTGAGTCAGGGTAGGCAATGGCGCAACTGATATTTTTGATATCACTAGCATCTATAGGCTATGGTGCCACATACCATCAGGTGGGCCATATGCTTGTTTGCCACCCATATAACAATAAAAAAAGAATTAAAGTCTTGTTTTGCAGTAATTAAAAAATGCTCTCATAAAATTTTTTGCTAAAAAGGTATTAGAAATGCTCTGGTAATGTTATTTGCATACAAGGTATAGTACAATCCAGATTGGTCTTTAGATACTTACCCTGGGTTGTAATCACTCACTAATATTATGAAGGCGATAGTTTGTGAGTGTGTATGTTTGTTACTTTTTGAGCCGACACCCGTAATCCATTAACATATAGGATACGTTTTACTGCGGGAAAATATCCCTAATAAACCGTGAGGAGCTCAATGGCGCAAGTGGTTGGCGCGTTCGGCTGCGATCTTTGAGCTTAAGCAACTTTTGCAGTGGTCGGTCATTGGATGGGTGACCAAAATTTACTATCTCGAGCTCCTCCGTGCTTCGGAAGGCACGTTAAGCCGTTGGTCCCGGCTGCATCTGCAGTCGTTAGCACCCACCAATCCGCACTGGGCCCGCGTGGTGGGTCATGGCACAATCTCCCTATTCCATCCACCGGGAAGGCCTGTGCTCCAGCAGTGGGGACATTAATAGGCTGATGATGATGATGAAAACGCGGGTGACACAGCGCGGCACAGCTAGTAAGTATTACATTGTCAATTTTTTTTATTAATGACGACAACGGGTTTAAAGCTGGCACATACTTACAAGGCCCTTTTCGAATCCTGGTGGGGTAAAAGTTAGTATGATGAATAGCTGGGATGGCAGGACTGATACTAATCCCCACGCAAGATAGGCACTGGGTGTCGAGTTGCGGAAACAGCCCGCGGTACTACTAGTATGTACATTTGTACCTATAATTATAATTATTATTCAACACTCCAATTATTATTCAACAACCTACAACTCACTTTTGCCTTTATAATTATAATTATTTATTGTGAGTTAGTTTGTAACCCTTTCAAGTTAACGTGGACAAAGTCATGGGTGGCCACTAATTTCTATAAAAATATACTTATATATGTATCAGTTGATAGAATTAACCTAGTATCTCATAATACAAGTTTTACTGTGCTTACTTTGGGGCTATGCTAATTGGTGTGAGTGTTAGAAATATTTGTATTTATTGAGTTGTATTTTGCTTCATATTTAAACCTCTATCAGTGTAAGTTGACGACGTTCATGTATTTAAAACAGGACAATTGTGGACGCACGGGCTGCGTCTACACAGGATGGCGTAACCATCGTGCCCGAGATTTGAACTCCTTGCGGCGCCCACGCGAGGTTTGTTACAAAGAATTAGATGATTAATCCTAAGCTGAGAAAAAGCTTTTAATTTTAACCTAAGCTGAGAAAAAGCTTTTAATTTTAAAGTACTGACTGAAATAATTATTTTAAAAAATATATAATCCGGGTGGGATTTACAAATAAAATTTTACAGGTTGTATTAATATACATAAGTTAATAGAAATCGGCCCAGCCATTGATATAATTTAATTACTTAAACAAACATCTATACTAATATTATAAAGCTGAAAGGTTTGTTTGTTTGATAGTTTGGTTGAACTCAGGAACTACTGATTCAAATTTGTTTTTTTTTGTGATAGATAGCCAAACATCATGATAAGACTAATGAAAATGTGGCGAAAACGGGAAAAAATATTCCTTTTCAGAGCTTTCGTTGCGTACGGTGAGTAGACGGTTAAAGTTACACAAAAATCATGTATGAAGAAATTGTTCGCCTATAAAAGTTCTAAAAAAGTCCGCGACATAATATCTTTTAAGTTTGATTCACTATAACCTTTTTCCTCAAATTAATCACATTTATCGACTGTTAAGCGACACGAAGTTCGCCAGGTCAGCTAGTTGTACATATAAGTATATTATAGGGTATATAAGTTAACATTGCAGAATCAAAAAAGGCAAATATTTATTTAAAATATTAAAATTCGTTTTAGAATGGCTTCACTTCAAGGAAGCTTCTGCGCACTGTTCCTCGACAAATTACTTCAGTGTTGAAGGCAGATTTGCTTTGGTCACTCGGCGTTACAGGTAAACTCCTTATAAACTTATCTTTAATGAAGTTTTTTGAATTATGTGTAATGTAATATATGTCTTGCATTGTTTCTTTACTTATAACATGTGATTTAAGGATTTTGGGTTAAGAATCTACGCTGAAGTGCATTAACCTTTTATAATATTTGAAGGACTAACAAGTACCGATTCTTTACACCGTGGCCTTCAAACGCCTTCAACACTTCTATAAGCCTCTTTTGAATGAACCCACTCAATTGATTTTCTCTATGATGGCTCCTCAGAGATTTAGCCAATGTTCAGTGTATGTGCCCTATATATTTTGTCTAGATTTAAATCAGCAGAACCTTTTTGATTGAGTGCTGATTAAGACTGGTCATTATTGTTGTATCTATATAGGTGAAGGTGTCAGAGTTGCCGTATTCGATACCGGCCTGGCACGAAACCACCCTCACTTTGGTCGGATCCGCGAGCGCACCGACTGGACGGGCGAGAACACGCTAGATGACGCCTTGGGGCACGGAACCTTCGTCGCTGGGGTCATAGCATCCAGGGCAGAATGCCTAGGTTTCGCGCCCGACGCGGATCTACACATTTTCCGCATCTTTACCGACAACCAAGTAAGTTTTGCCTCGATTCAGCACTGCGACATGACATAATACAGCTCGTTTTTATCACGCTCTGTTGTCAAATAACTATAGAGTTTTATAGTTGGACGCGATAAATAAAAATCGTGGTATAATGCATATTGTGGTGCTCATGCTACGGGAACTGGTTACGTTATTATCATTGTTTTTCAATGCAATGGTATAGTGCGATTTAAACATAAAGGCAAAAACACACAGAAGCCGGAGGCAGAACGGAGGCGTCGCGGTGTTTTGATTTAATTCGAATTAATATAAAAGGTTTCACACGTACAAACCAGTGGCTAGGGGGCGTGGTGGCGGGGCGAGTCTTACCGGCTGCACAAACAGGCGGCGAGCGCAGTGCGGAGGCCGGGCGGAGGCCTGCTACCGCTAGGGTTTATTCAGTTGTAATTTATTTTTTTACAGAATTGTTCCTCGAACAATAAGTGATATTTACAATGGATTTCTGATTCCGCCCGCGGCTTCTGTGTTTTTCGGCCTTAATGGCGTCTTTAAAGTTAGTGCAAGTCACGGCGCAGGAAACGGAATGTACGCGCGCGTAAATCAAACTGGGCAGATAATTATAGGGAATATGCATGTTTTTTTTTATATTTTTATTTAGTAGTTTAGATCTCCTTTATACAGTATAATAAAAATTAACATCGAAAAAATAGTTTAGTATCTAAAAAAATTGCACAGGCAGTTTAAACGCGCGCTATTTTCGAATGCTTTGATGTGACGTCACGATACATCTAAAGCTGCGTATTCATTAGGCAATATTTGTGAATAAACACTGTTTATAAACAGTATTTGACAATGTTGCATCACCTCCGTATACAATCTAGAAATTGTTTATAAACAAAAGTGATGACACATTAGATAAATATGCAGCAGCCGTAAGAGTTAAAAAAGAACCAAAATGATTTCTAATATTAATTTAATATAAAAATTACAATTACTAATTCTTAAACTAGTTGACCCGATCGAAGTATGAAACGAAGTGATGAGGCTACGGGCAGCATGAGGCAACAAAGAGGCGCGGGGGGCTTGGCGGTGTACGTGTGATTCCCACGTTTATGCAGTGTCGGCGTTTTGGTCATATTACAATATGTACTGTGTGAATTGTAAGACAGCGTTGTACGTTTGATTCCTACGTTTTCTGCAGTGTCGGCGTTCTGGTAATATTACAATATGTACTGTATGAATTGTAATACGGCGGTGTCAGCTTTCTTCGTAATCTGGCAATCCGTAACTGATTGTTTCAGATACATGTTGCCGGTGTTCCCCACTCTGTATGGAGAGCAAGACGAAACATTTAGTTTATAAATAAAAGTTGACAGGTGTGGACGTGTGTTGCGAGAGGTTTATAGTTTATTTAAGCATGGTCGTAGTGTTGTCCAATGACCAAGTTTCGATGCTCACACTGCTGGTATGATGCTGCTGATTATTTTTAAACTTTAAAAGTATGACAGTGAGACATATGTGTCACCTGTTGCAAGTTGAAATTATGAAATACCCATAAAATCCACGAAGGTCATCAAATACTCAACTTCCATTTAAAATGTAGTTTCGAACCCACCACGTTTTCCCTTTTTTTTTGCAGTACTTTTTTTCAGAGTAACACTACCTCGGGCAACATCCTAGCAACAACTGACTAGTGTGTGTTTCAGAAACTGTTTTTACGGTAAACTTGTTTATAAACAAGGTAATGAACGTCATAAACAGTGTATCAACAAACGTTGCCTAATGAATACGCAAATGCTGACATTATGCGTTCCATACTTTCACTGCGGATGGAAGTCGGAAACTACGTCAATCAAATAGACATTATGTTTCATACATTTTAGGTAAAAAGTTTAATGTCATAGTGAAAAGTTGCATTCGGTGTCTTGGTGGAACGCGGCTTTGACATCTACGTACTCTACATCTACTACCTATAATCTCGTTGACATAAGCATAGCCTGTGAACATCACGTTTATATAATATATTTGAATTTCCCACAAGTTTTTCGCAGTTTTATATCATTCATTTCTTGCTCGAAAAGAAATTGTATTAACAATTATTGATGGAGGGACAACTAAAAAGTATTAGTTTATATAAAAATAAAATGAGGCTTACTTAAATTACATGCATATTCCTTAATGTGATAGTAAGTAACTTATAATTAATTAAATGAGATTCAGATAATTCATTTTATCACATGCTATTGTAAACTGTAATTTTTGATATGGTAATAAATGAAAAAAAAGTGAGATACACGTCACGAACGAGTGGCCCATCCCATTGTTCTTCTAATGTATATAAATTGGCTGTTAGTTATTGTTATTGTTCTTTCCAGAGAGTTGTCAATATCATGTGAGTGTCCCTCAGTCCACTCTCAGTCGCGGCACGAAACTCTAGCGCTGACCGTTATTTAGGCTTGTTGAAAATATATCGATATATCGATATTTTTTGTTCGATATATCGATATTTTTTGCCGATATATTTTGATTCGATATATCGATACATCGATACAAAATAACCAATATCGAAATTCGTATCAAAAACGATATTTTTTTAATTATTAGCGGCATATCACGATCTAACTAAATTCGTATCTGGAAAAATCGTAACTGGATCTCAGATCAATGATATTCAACATATCTATGATCTGTGCTGTATTTAGTATTGTCTATTATTTGTAAATCTGTTTTGCTGGTGAATTGGTTGTGCTGATTTCCATTATATTCTGTAAAGTGTGTGACTGTCTAGTCTTGTTTACGAAAGAGCCCCTGCAATCATTTACCTGAAAGGCCCTGCAATCATTTTCATCATTCGAAAATAGCGTCTATTTTTAGGGAGATAATTTTCGTTCCATTATTATTCCGCGTGTCATATTTCGTGAGCTACTGTACCATATTTTTGGGAAAATTGGTCCGATATATCGATGTTTTTTTCGCGATATATCGAAGCCGATATTAATATTTTTTAAAAGATCGATGTATCGATATATCGATATTTTTTTCAACTTTCGACATCCCTACCGTTATTGTGCATAAACAAAAATTAAGATGTCTTGGGGGGGAACGAGGTGCGCGGGTGGGTGTGCGTTGCGCTGATTGGCTCTCCAGTCGTACCCATGCGTAGCTATCCCCTCCGCGTTTTGTTCAGCGCTAGAGTTACGTGCCGCGACCTATACCCACTTAACTGAAATTGCGCATAGTTCCACTCGTTGCTAACATCACAACAGCCATAAATTTTGAATCGCAACAATCAATCAATAGTTTTCCTATTGATTGCGTTTGGACCTTAGATTAAAACAAAAAGGGAAGATACGGTACGCTCATACTAGCATCAAATAGAATATGATCTGGCTCAACTACATAAGCAACTCTCACACACGCACTAGTCTGTATATAAACATTCAATCGAGCGAGCGAGAGAGAAGGAGTCCGTACGGCTGAGCTGTATTGTTGTCCTTTTCTTGATAACAAAATGGCGATTACGTACAAAGCATTCACTACAAACCGTGATTTTTGAGAGTAAAATGATTTTACAGTTTTATAATTGAAAAGTGGTGCCGAGCCATTTGTTATTTAACTTTGAACTATTTGTGTTCTTTATAAAATCAAGGCATTGTTTTATCTTTATAACACAGAATATACGCAATATTGTTATATTGAGTGCACATGCAGCATTTTTGAATGTCCACTTGTGACAAATTCGAATTATGGTCATGCACCACAATTTAAGCGGATCACTTTAGAACCGCGAGTGCCGTATCTTCCCTTTTTGTTTTAATCAAAGGTTTGGACACAGTTACTGAAAATACTGACACGCTAAATAAAAAACGAATCATTAAAATTCCATAGCTAGGTACAAATAACAAGTCACTATATTTTCAAATAACATTAAAGGGATTAACCAACCAACTAAAAGTTTCAAGTTCTGCCAACCTATGTATCTTATAATATTGTTTAATTTTCTTGTGTCGTTGTGTTGGCGTTGATAATCAGGTCAATGTCAAGTGCAATAACATTTTTTATATTTTTGATAGCCGAAACTAACATTGTTAAATTGATTTTATAATCCTGAAAATTGAGTGGCGAGTAACTTTGAACCTTTATTAGTAGAAGTTAGTTTTCGTTTGATGATAATTTTGTCGTAGGTTTCATACACGTCATGGTTTTTGGATGCGTTCAACTATGCTATCATGCGCAAAATTGACGTCTTAAACCTGAGTATCGGTGGACCTGACTTTATGGACCACCCATTCGTCGATAAGGTGTGGGAGCTGAGCGCCAATAAGGTACGGAAAATTGAGAGATTTGTCTGTATTTTGATATTCTTATAAGGACCGTTTTGAGCGAACTATGTACGTATGAAACTTGTGCAAATCATACTCTGATGCCAGCACTTCGTGCTGTACATAAACTTGACATCAGTGTGCTCCTTTCATTCCATAAATAGCAGGACATACTGTTGTGAAGTTTACAATTAGCCTTATCGTTGTCAATTACTTCAACTGTCAAAAATTAATTCATATATAAGCCAAAAAAAATACTAAGGAGGCAACGATACGGCTATTACAATACCAACACGAATGACGAATACATCGTAATGGCCCAATACGATAACGAATGACGATACGAATGCATTAAGATTTATGTTTTATAGCATTTCATTGAATTCATTTGAAGCTTTGTACGTATCGCTTTGTCTGTTATTATATCAATATTATGACATAGTGCAAATCAAATTTCAATTTATTTAATTAAATTTGATTTGATTTTGATTTGATGTGTAGATGCAGACGGCCTGACCTGCCTTCCGAAGGTCGGAGGAACGCTAAGTTAAGAAAAAAATTAGTTTTGATCACCCATCCTATGACAGGCTATTGCGAAAGTTGCTCAACTACCACAATGTCAGATTGAAAGCGCTAAGCTCAGAGTGCCATCGAACATAATATATATGTATTTGAGAATTTAGTGTCTTATATGTGCATTATTTGCCGATGGCATTTATTGTTTCGCTGAAGCGTACGTAGACAACAGGAATGTAATATTTATTTATTATGGCATTAACGATTTGAATTGATTTGAATTGCAATAAATTATCTAACTGCAACCTAATTTACGTTGTTTTTTAATATATACTACTACTACTACTATAGTACTATCGTCTTGTGTTAATCGGATTCACTTTTAGGCCCTTATTATAGAAAGATTCTCAGTGATTGATCTAGTCTTGAGCATAGTTACTTTATGTAACTGTACTTAATTAAAGATAAACACTTAGTTGTCATTCTGTAATACGGGCCTTAAACATATAACATAGTGGTATTAGAAGCAAATAAACACGACATAGGAAAAGGCTATCAAATAAACTACTTAGTGAATAGGGGATGATTCGTTGATTTGTCACAAATTTCTTACAAAAATGCCAGCGTGGTGAATTATGAATATGGCGTTAGCGTAACTATGAAAGAAATTATTATCAAATTACCTATTTGTCTTTAACATGTTATATTAGTGTTGTGGACGCTCTGGCATTAATCCTTGACTCACTACAATTAATCGTAGCTTTAATAATAGCTGTGCATGCATAGCAATATAGTTTAAGCAGACAGTGCGACTGCGAGGCATTAGTTAATATAGGAATCATTTGATATTTAGCGATTTGTGAAACTTTAAAATACTAGAGTATCTCGTTGTAATTACTATCCGTTCGCTTCGAGTCGGCCGTCGATGACCGTTACAGAGTGGCGTTTCAGGTCAATCACAGGCACATCAACCTTAGGGGTATAAGAATAGAGTAGGGGAGATATAAACTCTACTACAAGTGGAAGTGTCCCTCTAATAGATAGAGAAAGAAGATGAGAGACCGCTAGCTTTCTCTCTCTAATCGCGCATGCGCATTGGCAACCGTAATCATCTTACTATTTCGATGTGATGCCATTGGATGCCATGCGTCACAAGAGAGAGATAGCTAGCGGTCTCTCATCTTATTTCTCTTCTAGAGCCGCCTTCCCCACTCTATTAACATCAACTGGTACGATCGACCAATAGCGTCGACTAATAAGGTGTGTCTATGAGCGCGGTACGGTGAGGCGGGAAGGGTGGGAACCCAACTCGAAGCGAACGCGTCTTAGTAAATACTAAATGGAATCCACAATTGCTTGAAATTTAAAAGAGCTACTTGCGAGTTGTCCTCATATGCTGGCACTTTGCTTTATGCTTGCACGTCAGGCTAGTCGTATTTGCTGTTATGAATGCATGTGAATTCGAGAGCAGTATATTTTTATCATGATCTATAGGGATTCATAGAAAGAGAGAGATACTGCTATCAAATTTAGCTCGGGCAAATACGAATAGCCATATGTAATGCCATTATTATAGTGTCATTAATTGGTGGCCCGCCTTCGCTTCGCTTCCCTGAAGACTAGTTTCTGTTCCGGGTATCATTCTTAGCATGTCTAATGTCCCCACTGCTGGGACATAGGCCTTCCCTATGGACGGAATAGGGCGATTGGGCCGTGGACTAACCACGCAGACCTAGTGCGGATTGGTGGGTGCTAACGACTGCAGATGTAACCGAGACCATCGTGCTTTACGTGCCTTCCGTAGCATGGAGGAGCTTGAGATAATAAGTTTGTAGTCACCCATCCAATGACTGACTATTGCGAAAGTTGCTTAGATTCCACGCTTGTATGCCGAACGCGCTAACCACATCGAGTTCTGCATGTATACAACATTAATTAACATTTTTTACATTCTGAATTACTATCTATTTTTGTACACTGAATTAATATCTTTTGTGTAGTTTAAAAGATCTTAGCGTACAGGCAGCAGGAGCGATATTCTTTTTTATATATTATAAGTATGTAAACATACATAAATGTTTACTTTGTTTGAACTTTATCACAAAATGGTTATACTATACTATAAGTGTTTTCTTCCCGATTTCTGGACAGGTTATCATTGTATCCGCTATCGGCAACGACGGGCCTCTATACGGGACCCTGAACAACCCCGCCGACCAAATGGACGTCATCGGCGTCGGAGGTATCGGGTTCGATGATCGTATTGCCAAGTTCTCGTCACGGGGAATGACCACGTGGGAGCTACCTAGTGTAACTGTCATCCAATTGTCTTCGTTATTTATTACATAAAACCGACACCTTGACATTAATGCGGGTTGCAGACTAAAAGCTAAGCTAAGTTAGCTTAGCTCCCATAGCTGACGCAGTTTCTCATAATTATGTGCAGACTGCAAACTATGCAAACTAAACTATGTAACTAACTAAAATATGCGAAGCTAAGTTAGTTGTGTATGCCGATGCCATCTACCGAGATAGAATGTGTTGACATAGCCAGGGTCTGGAATGGCTTTTATAGATAATAAGTCAGTATTAATTATCTATGTGTAACGTATTCATCATCGGAACTTTTTTCATCGATGATATGGCGAGGGACGTCAGTCGAATTGAACTGAGCTTTAACTCAGTTCGTCTTTTACCTTAACTTAGCGTAGCTCAGCTTAGCTTCGGAATAGCTTAGTATTCGTTTTGCGACTCGCAAAAATCATTATAATGATACTAACGGAAGCACATGTGAAAGTTGTCAAATCTATTGCGCTGGGAGACCTTGTACTCAGAAGAACCGGCAAGAAACTCAGAAAGGGCTGTTTCTTTCTCCTGTAATATTATATACAGAGATGTCAAATTAAAAACTGACTTCTTATTCATGATGTCACCTTTCAACACATAATTAGGAGCCCTATTAATATTATTTGTTCATGTCTTGTGTACTTTGTTGTGTGAAATAAAGAATATTTATTATTATTATTCAAATCAAATCTAATTTATTAAAACATTACATTGATCAATCATTGTTAGTTACAATTGTCACTTAAGAAATTTGTTAGTCAACGTTACACATAGAGATACTTATATATAAATTAGAAAGTTGTATGTTTCTTACTGAATCACGCTAAAACAGCTGAACAGATTGAATTAGGCACACATATTAAAGTTTGCTACCTGCGTTGAGACATAGGATACTTTTTATTTAGAAAAATGTTAGGTTCCTGATGGATTCTCAAAAAACTGAAATTGACTCGGGTAAAGTCACGGGCGGTCGCTAGTCTATACATATAAATAAAATTGGAGTGTCTGTTTGTAATATTGAAATAACTGCTTTTTACTACATGCATATGAATATATATACGGTACATACACCAAAATATCATTTTTTATAATTTTTGTCTGTCTGTTTGTTCCTGTTAATCTCTGAAATGGCTGGACCGATTTTGACGGGACTTTTATTGGCAGGTATCTGATATAATAAGGAGTAACTCAGGCTACTTTAATTTTTTATAACTCGGGCTCAAATAAAAGAAATATCTAATTTACTAAAGTATTAAATAAATAATGTTCACTATTTTTTTTATACAGGGCTACGGTCGCATGAAGCCCGATATAGTGACTTATGGCAGTGGTGTCCGCGGTTCCAGTGTCACAGGAGGATGCAGATCACTCAGCGGTAAGATTTTTTTTAGGGGGGAATAAACAGCCCAATCATCCGCATTCAGTGCTTTTTAAATCAATATAAATAAAAAAATGCGTGTGGTTTTATGAAACTACGGCGTAAGTGTTGCTTTAAAAAATCACTAATATAAAAAGTCCTCCCTTGCTTAACAACAAATGAAAAATGCAATGCGACATTCTAAGATGAACGAAAAAAATTGTGGCGATGTAATAAAAGTTTCACTTTAAAGATAGCGATTTCGAATGATCGAAATGTTTACATAACTTTCGGAAGACACCACCAAATTAGATAATACATTTTTGATTATGTTTATTATTATCAGGACAAGGTAATACATAAAAAAATTAAACAATCAAAAATATGGCGGTATGAAGTTCGCCGGGTCAGGTAGTGTTAAACATTTCTTAATAGCAATAGCGAAAATCTGCATAGTTTTATTTATCTGTTAATAAAATTAAATAATACCAGCTTTAGGCTACTTTCTAATATACTTAAAACCTCTTACAAATTATGGTAGTCGATAAAATTAACGTAGAAAATGAGGCGTTAAATAGTGATTACCGTGATAACAACATTATTTAAGTTATGCAAAAATACAGCTGCTGCCATTCAATTAAGCAGTTTGCTACGTTTGTAATGCATCGGCTGAAGGTCAAATAATAATAGAAATAGCAGTGTTAAAGAAAAATATATATATTACACGTTTATTTTATATTATAGCCTGATGGTAAGTGTTCACCGTCGGCCATAGACACCTGCAATACTAGGAGTATCACAAATGCGATGCCGCCCTTTAGGCCAAATGCAAACAAGCATATTATGGCTCGTCTGATAGTAAGCGGCTTCCATAACCTATGCTTGCGATACACAAATGTACTTGTGCCGTTGCCTACTCTTACTCCATCCCCTACCCCATGAAGCCCTGTAACTTTAAACTTAGTTTACCAGGGGCCCAAGCGCGAATTCCGACTGCTTTATAATCCTATTGCATAGTCAAATTTTCTATGAAAACTAAGCAGCGGACGTAAGTACAAACTAGCTTTTTCCATACAAAATTTGATGATGATACGATTACGGAGCTGTCAAAATTCGTGCTTAGGCTTCAGTTGCTCTGCTGTACATCCTTACGTTGTTATACAGGTCTAGGTCACAAAGAGGTTGTAAGCAACAATTATTGATATTATATAATTATTGATATTATACGATTATTGCGATGCGAATGCTTTGACAAGTAACGTAATTTTAAAGCTAATTTGAATCTCTGGTCGATTGGTGGAACCACGGATAAGAAAACAAGAGCAGAAGTCGCAAGTAGGCGTCACCCGCGTAACCTCGGATATGCGAAGCTTAGCATATGTGCTAGTACTTACACGTTAGTGTCAATTGAGATAGCGACCGAACACGAACGAACGTATAGCGAAAAAATAGAAATAAGCTTAATTGTTATATACTTCGATGCAAAAACGTTAGCCACAAGCATAATGTATCCAATGGAGGCATAGCACACAACCGATACGTATTATTTTAATATTTTTTACTGTTATTAAAAATGTAATTTTTTTGCCATTTGCATGATGACACCACCGGTTTGACTTGCCTATCGAAGTAATTTAGAGTCAGTACATTTTTGTCACCTATCCAGTGGCCGGCCGTTGCGAAAGTTGTTAAACTTATTTGGTCGTATACCCAATGTAAACACGGCGCCGTCAGGCTCTTTGCGATATTTATAAAATGCAGCTGTTACTTGCTGAGCTAGCTTACCAGTTAAATATGACGCCGACATTCCACCTATTAAATCACTGCTTCGTTTGCGACATTTATAATGCGCACGACTAAGGAATGAAATGTGATGTCAACGCCTGTGTCTCTAGAAATTTATGATGTAGATATCTCCAAAGCTAGAATTAAGAAGCATTTTCTAGAAAGCGAACTCTTCGGCTTCATCGGCACTTTTAATGTCATGTCCGAAGCCAATAGCAAAATACTCTTTGCCTGCCTTCAAAGAGAGCAAGCATATCTACATTTAATTTTATCAGCCCTGTTATCGATTTTGTTGATAACAGGCGATATGTCTCTTTCTTCCTTACTTTTATTCTCGAACCATCTCAACGTTAACCCCTTTTTACTATCCATGTCATATATAAACACAATCTCCAACTTTTCTTCAGCCTTTCTCTTCTTGTATTTCTACTTTTATTCGGTTTTCCCTATCATTTAAATTTAACTATTGTTTTAGGTACATCCGTGGCTTCCCCTGTCGTAGCCGGGGCAATAGCCTTGTTGGCCAGTGGCGTTCCTCGCCAACACTTGACTCCGGCAGCTGTGAAGCAAGCTCTATGTATCACCGCGCGGAGACTCGCAGGACCAAATATGTTCGAGCAGGGACACGGCAAATTAGACCTTATCAGCGCGTATCAGGTTTGATTTCATTTTGGTTACCCTTACAGGCTATGCTTTTAGCTCTCCTGGGCAGCAGCGATCCCTGCCAACATTTGAATCCGGCAACAGTGAAGCAAGCCCTTTGTAGCACCTCGCGGAGGCTCGCACGATTAAACAGGTGCGGACAGGGACACGGCAAATTAGACTCTATCAACGCGTATCCGGTTTGATTTTAGTTTGATTACCCATACAGGCTATGCTTTTAGCCTTCTTGGCCAGCGGCATTCTCCGTCAACACTTGACTCCGGCAGTCGTGAAGCAGGCCCTATGTATCACCGCGCGGAGGGTCGCAGGACCGAACATGTTCGAACAGGGACATGGCAATCAGATCTTAGCGCGTATAAGGTATGATTTTATTTGATTACCCTTACAGGCAATGCTTTAGTCAGTACATGGTTTAGTTTTTTTTACGTCATTTCTTGATTGTTTGTACCATTGTGGTGTACTTCTGTTTTCAATAAGCAATATAACTTCAATCGCTTAAGCGATTATATTTTTAAGCGACTTTAAAGTCGTCCCGAGTTTTATTTTAAGAGGAGTCAAAACTTGCTGCTCATTATTTGCTTGAATGTGTAAAAGTATAATGGGTGCAAAGAACCATGGTGCTTAATTATAAGCGGCCACCACAGCCGCAGACACTATATACCAATAGATAAATAATAAATGAATATTTCCAACACTCGACCAATTAGCCTAGCCCTAAAGTAAGCACTGTAAGGCTTGTATTATGGAATACTAGGGTAACGGATAGAATACGTATATAAGTATGTTTATATAGAAATACATATTAAACATCCTTGACTGGAATACAAATGCTCGTATTCATCACACAAACATCTGCGCCCACCGGGACTGAACCCGGGACCTCTCGTAGGCGACACCTTAAAACCCGGCGTACAAACCACTCGACAACGGAGGTCGTCAGTGTCCCAAGTTCTGTTTTAAGTGGAGTCAAATTTCATTTCTAATTTTTTTCTTCAGTATCCAATGCATCAACATCATCAGCCTATTAAGGTCCCCGCAGCTGGGGCACAGGCCTTCCCTATGGATAGAATGAGGAGATGGGGCATAACCCACCACGCGAGCCCAGTGTGGATTAGTGGGTGCTAACGACTGCAAATACAGCCGTGGCCAATGGCTTCCAAAGAACGGTGAACCTCGAGATAGTATATATTTGGCCATCCAATGGCCGAACACTGCGAAAGTTGTTTAACTTCAACGACCGGAGCCGAACGCGCTAACCACTTGCGCCATCGAGCTCCTTAGCATGTCTAGCATAGCATAGGGTTCGCTCAATTGACAGCGGCCAACATAGCCTATTTAGATGCTTGTAATACCGTTGTACTCCAGCGTCTTGCCTTTATTCAAATAAAAAACTAAGTTTACATGTTAAAAAGTTCTTACTATTTTCTCTTTAAGTTCTTGAGAGAATATGAGCCTCAAGCTAGCCTGAGCCCGCCGTACATCGACTTGACGGAATGTCAGTACATGTGGCCGTATTGTACGCAACCGTTGTACTACAGTGCGCAGCCTACCATCGCCAATGTGACTGTGATCAACGGACTAGGCGTTTCGGGACAAGTTGTGAGTTTATGGATTTTTACATTTAAATATTCAGCCTCGTTTTCATGTATACCTTGCGGTTTTGGAGGATCAAAAGTGCGGTACCATATTATAAACTAATATTCTAATTCACGGTGTTAACATTACTTCTTAACCGATCATACGTTTGATAGTATTAGGATCTTAGTTATTGTCCAAAAACCATAATAACACAGTGTCTACTTATAGCTAATAGTTCTTGGAAATAGGATGCTAACTTTGCGTAGAGCTACGATTCAAGCTTATCTTTCGCTCCTAGTCAATAACGCCAAATATATCAAAGTATTCAAGCTTAATTATCTTTTATTGAAAAAACGAAGCATATCTATACTAATATAAAGCTGAAGAGGTTGTTCGATGGATTATTTGGTTGAACGCTCTAATCTCAGGAACTACGGAATTGAAAAAATATTTTTGTTTTGGATAGTCCATTTAACGAGGAAGGCTATAGGTCATATAACATCACGCTACGACCATAAGGAGCGGCGCTTCGTAGAAAAATGATGCAAAAACGGGAAATTTATTCCATTTCTGAGCTTCCGGTACGTACGCTGCATAAACGGTTAAAGTTACACAAAAATCATGTTTGACGGAATTGTTTCCCTTTAAAAGTTCTTTAAAATAGTCCGCAACAGCGTATGTCCATCTTTTAAGTGTCAAACTTAAACTATAACTTTTTTCTACAAATTAACGCGGGTGAAATCGCAGGGGACCTCTAGTGCCTCTATAAAATAGATTTTCGTTGCTAGCCAATTAATCGGCTTTCGTCCTTTCTTACTTATCTCTTAAAATAAAAGTATGCATAATTAGAATTAGTAATATAATTATTCTATTTGCAACCCAGAAAGACGTTGTATGGCATCCGCATCTACCAAACGGCGTTCTTCTCTCCGTGTCCATGGAATACAGCGAATATCTCTGGCCCTGGTCCGGGTGGCTAGCCCTCAGCTTCACGGTGTTGGAAAAAGGTGTCGATTTCGATGGCGTTGTAGAGGTAATGATAATAGTAATGTCTTTTTGTTAACTTTTATAAATGTCGTCAGGTTATTGTAAAAATGACAAAATTCGTTCTTTAAACTTTGAAATAAAGCATTAAGGTACGTTGTATGCACAGACACATATACTGGTGTTCGTTTTTATTAACCGACTTCAAAAAAGGACGCGGTTTTGTGTTGGACTATATATATGTACTAGTTGCCCGCCCTCGCTTCGCTTCGGTGTAGAGCTGTAGCTTAGATTATATTTTTGTTCTCAGGTTTCTATTAAACACAATGACTTTCTTTAAATACCTAATTACTAAAGACACGCGCCGCCGCCGGCCCCCCGGCCAGTACTGCCCGAACCGGTATGTTCCTGCATTTTAAATCTGTAATATCTTCGAAAATATTCATTTAAATTACATGCTGTCGAGGGTTATATTGATCTATATTACACGCACAATGTATTTAAGGTACTTACTTGGATAAGGATTAATGCTGTATTGCTTAAAATCGCTTGTTCGTAAATAAGCCATTATTTTCTCGTAATAAGTAATTAAAAAATGGTTATACCAAAGAGATAGGCATATACCATCGCGGACTTTTTTGTAGACCTTTTTAAGTTGTACAATACTGTAGTACATTATTTTGATCTATCTCGTTGGGTTCAGCCAGCGTAAGCGCAAAAAATGTGTTTATTTACGACCTAATATTAAAAACCTCTAAAATTATCAGTGTTTCTCTACTATATTATGCATGTATTATACATATAAACCTTCCTCTTGAATCACTCTATCTATTAAAAAAAACCGCATCAAAATCCGTTGCGTAGTTTCAAAGATTTAAGCATACAAAGGGACATAGGGACAGAGAAAGCGACTTTGTTATATACTATGTAGTGATATATAGGGTGAAATTGAATGTTTTAATGAAACTTCGTGAGATTGTTGGGTTACGTGTATAGAGTATGCCTGATTTTTTTCAAGTATTTTTTTTCTAGTATTTATTTATAATTTGTGTATTTTTATGTCCTTTCCTCTTTTTGAGTTGTTATTCATTTTAAACAAGCATACTTACATATCCAGTGAAAACCAACTAATAAATAAGCATTTCTATAAAACGGAAAAACAGTAAAATTAACCGCGGGTCAACGACCGACCGCGCCCGCCAGCCGTTGAGTGAGTAGGTACGCAGAGCTCAGCTGACTCCTTTGATTCCACACAATACAATAAAATCATCTTAGATGCCTTTATTGAAATAATAAGCACAAATGTCATCTTCTCTTAAGCAGAGAAAAACTTAAATGATATGATTCCATTTATTTTTTAAGCATTTAACTGCTAGATGTTTAAATCTAAAGAAAAGTTTACTAGAAAAAAATCCACGCGGACCGTGAATTAGGGCCGTGGTAGCATAATGGTCAGTGCATTCGCCCGGATAGAGAAGGATGCGGGTTCGAGTCCCGTGCGCTGCCTGGTCCGCGTGGATTTTTTTTCTAGTAAACCTTTCTTTAGATTTAAACATCTAGCAGTTAAATGCTTAAAAAATAAATAAAATCAAAAGAAATACTTATTGCAGTTCAATACTTGGGTCAGAATGAAATTTATAACCTAATATTTTTAACCTAATTCAAAAGTACTTACGAGACCGATGTAACTATTAATTTTTTTCACTATAACTTCCTGTATACGCTTTGTAAACAGAATCAATCACCAAACCTACTTTCGTAAAGACTTGTGGCTCTGCTGAGTATTCCGTGACACTCGCAATAACAACACACCATATCCAAAGTCTTATATTGAGGCCACAGAACAAGAACTAATCAAGGCATTATTAGCTAATCTTGTCTTGTCACAAATTTAAAAGATACGCACGAGCGGTGGATAGTCTTGAGACTCCGCTCGCTCACTGCGCTGTGCACCGCGCATAGGTAGGTAGGAAGGTATTCAACGGCGGGAGCGGTCATTGCTCCCGGCCGCCCGTCTCCTGTTTTTACGTTTTTTTAGTAGTGCTTATTAGTTGCTTTTTACTTACTCTGTATGCGTGTTTAAAAAGAATAATTATTTAGTACCCATAAAGAGGGAAGGACTTAAAATATAACAAAAAAAAAAAATTAAATCATTTAAAAAAAATCCGAAATACGATTCACCTATGTAGGGTGAAATTGAATGTTTCAATGAAACTTCGTGAGATTGTTGGGTTACGTGTATAGAGTATATTTTTTTTATATTTTTTTCAGAATTTTTAAAATTATTTTTTTTCGTTTTTTATTTTTTTATTTGGTTATATTTTTTGTCATTTCTTCCTTATGAGTAATTATTCATTATAAAGACGTCTACATAGAAGTTGTAAAACAACTTAAAATAAGCACTCCTGAAAAAACGGAAACTTAATGAATGCCTCCAGTCGAGATCAGCGCCGGCCGGGGCGACGACCGGCGGCCGCCTGTGTAGGTACCTACTACACGCACAGATGACTCGGCGCTTACCTACTCTCCGCTTTGATTCCACGCTATTTAAAAACATTACAATAAAATAGTCTTAGATGCTATATTATAATTATTTATTCACTGATACACAATACCTTTGAATATTATTTCATAAAGCACAGGTAATCAATAAAATAAATCTTCTGTTAGAGCAATTAAAAATCCTATAAAGTTAATATGACTGTCACGATTTTAAATCGGTAAAGCCTGTCTGTTAATGTAACAACTTCTTTTTTATTGTTAATGTTAGTTGCCTCGTTTAATTAAAACTTAAGAACAAACGGCTTATTTAAAATTGAAAAAAATCATACAGAGCAAATCGGTATAACTTACGAGCTTAGTGAAGGAAGGAACTCTTCGTGTCTGATTTGCCCACGTCATGAAATTCCTAACACATTTAATCACAGCCACAGTCACACACACACACACACACATATAATAATATGTTGTTTTGCGGCAAGCACGGGCGGGCGGCGCGCCGCACACTGGCAAGAAACGTGCAGCGCTAGCGCCGGTTGCGGCGTCTTTGATGATGTGAATTCCGCCCACCTCCCCTCTTCCCCGCGTGCGGTGCTTTGCTTTGATTGCATGCAAAGCGCAGTGCAAGTGCGCATCTTTTGACTTAGTAACATACACTATGATAATTTCATTATGCCTCGGTATACAAACCAAGAATATTTAGAGATGGTGTACTGGTATCGCGAGTGTGACGAAGTAGGTTTGGTCTACGAATGAGTCCCCAAACCATAGAAGTGAGTATAAGCATTTTGTGCAGTGAGTAGTGATAGGGACACTTTAAAAAAGGTGGAAAGACACGTCCGCAAACGTGCCTACCTTTGCTTTTCACTATATAACGAATAAAACAATTTTACAAAAGCTACTGTGGTTATGGGTTTGTATGTAAATAAAAAGTTGTTATTCACTTACGATTTCTATTTATCACAAACACAAAGTCCAAGAATAATAACAGAAGGAGTTTGTAAACACACAATTCAAAACAGCAACAACAGAAACAGCAAACAGTTCAACAAAAGCACAGAGAAACAGAAAATACACATAAGCGGTAGCGTGAATACACTGCGTAAGCTACGTAGCAGCGATACTTAGGGCATGGATTCCCCGTCCGACGTATAGATCGTGACTGGTGCGGGGAGATGCGCGTACGCTGTCCGCGCGCGCTTGCGTTCTAACAAAAGGCTTACCACGACCGGTTTTTGCGTTGCGCGTGTCCACTGCCGTTGCCGTATTGTATCAACGAAATAAACATTCGTGTGAACAGAATAATTTATTTCGTGGATATTTATGTTATGTATGTATGTGTATGTAACTTATGTTTATCTAATGTATATAATTTTATGGAGTGTATTATGTAAGGTATTTGTTTATGTATATGTAAATATTATTAATATGTTTTCTATAACTGTTTTATTATATTATTTATATATACTGTAATATTATGTATTTATTTATACGTACTTTATTTTAGTATATAAATTTATAAAATATGTGTTTTATTTATATGTGTTGTTAATAAATATGTAGTGGGTTCCCCACATCACTCCCCCCAAGAGGCCGTCACTACGGACGATAAAAATCTGGGAAACGGACTTGACGTCCTGAACGAGTCGTTTTGGTTACGGGAGTACTATTTAAATAGGGAGAACTTGGAAGACTGAGTGGCGTGGTCTTAGTATGGTTGTATACGTTATGATCGTTCAGTATATAGGCTGGTTTCAATCTGTCTATTGATACTGATACGATTTTGCCTTTCACACTTAGCTTATATACCTTCGTGCCTCGTTCGATCACTTCATGAGGACCTGTGTAGGCTGGCTGCAAGGCACCTCTTAGTGCATCTTCACGAAGGAAGACATGTGAACAAGATGTAAGGTCTTTGTACACGAAAATTTTGGATTTCGAATGATTCGAAGTTGGTATTGGCTGAAGATTGTTGGCAAATGATCTGATCCGTGCTGAAAAGTCAGTAATATCAGTCGTACATTTGTCAACGGTATGGCCGAAGAATTCGCCTGGAAGCCGCAGTGGTTCGCCATATACTAGTTCGGCTGAAGAGGATTGAAGATCTTTTTTAAAAGAGCTACGTATGCCAAGAAGAACTAGTGGTAAGGCTTCAGACCAGTTGACGTCGCTATGGCACATAATGGCTGCCTTTAACTGCCGATGAAATCTTTCGACAAGACCGTTACACTGCGGGTGGTATGCTGTGGTTCTCTTGTGTTTGAATCCCATACTTTTTGAAAGCTGTTGGAACGTCGCGCTTTCAAACTGTCTACCTCTGTCAGTAACAACGTCAGTAGGACATCCGAATCGAGCTATCCAACCCAGTAAAAATGCGTTTGCCACGGTTTCTGCGGTAATATCGGTAATAGGGACAGCTTCAGCCCATCGCGTAAAACGATCGACCGCTGTTAAACAATACCGATATTCACGAGAAGGAGGTAATGGTCCGATGAGGTCTAAATGGACATGTTTAAATCTCGCTGAAGGTAAATCAAGTGTACCAAAGGC